CTTTTTTCCGCATCAACATTGGCAAATTTACATCCCTACTTAAACGTCTAGAAAATGATAGTCATTTCTGGTTAGCTGCAGTCATATATTAGAAAAGTGTACTAATTTTAGAAGTCTGAAATAGGGATGAAAAATCACAGATTTTGGTCTGAAATAGTAGTGCACCCTGAAGAAACTTCTGACTAGACTGCAAGCAGTCTCTCTTTTGCTCAAAAATCTGTGGGGAAGAACACAAGGAAGAACGCAACACAAGAGAGCAGTCATGAGCTTGCGAGCTTGAAATGCGGAGCTGTGAAGCTGCAGGTAAATTGGGTCTCGGAAGACAAGCGAAAAGAGAGACTACAATGGTTTCGTACAGCATTTCTGAAGCCTGACACTCTGGTGACAGGGTAATTCTGTTGCTTGGTCTCCAAAGTCATGACGCACATCCGTCAGTGACCTTTATAAGTGACATGGAGCATATGCCAAACTCTGTTGTAACTTAGTTTGTCTCCTACTGTTCAACTGCTGCGGTTCATGAAATTTGTACATTTGCTGCTCTATTTTGAATTTTGATCTCTCAACCTTTTTATTAGTTCTATACCTTACACTTGCTTTCAAAGGACTGTGGTAGGAGGACCCTAAAGTGGAGTTGAGCCAATTGACTAAGCATTAGGAAATTTTTTTAGAGGTCATGGTTTGGTTTCAGCTGTAATCTGTCATGGTTTTTTGAGTATGACACCTCTATCATTTCTAGATATTACAGCGTATGTTTAAAGCTCTCCATTCGCCCTGTAACAATAGATTCCATAATTACTAAATTAATAGATTCCGATTACTAGCATTTCGTCGACATCAGGTTCGATGAAAACTGTTGCAAGTGATGTCGCTTCTTATCTTGGACACCATGTTTATCTTTGTCTTGCTTAGTGCGAGACCTTGCTAGGTTCCTTAATGGTGCTTTTTGATGGTAAATCTTATGCAAATACTTGCACAACGACAAAACTCAGACACTGACACTGATCGGAATTTGAGTTTTTTGCCCTGAGCAACACAAGCTTTTTTGGCGTTGAACAGTATTATACAACACATCTTATCAGATATAGCCAAGATTGATTCGCAGAAAAACTTAGACACTGGAGTGTCATATTCGAAAATGGGCGGAGGTGTTATTGACACAACTTGTCAAAGAGCATCAGAAAGGTTGTGCAAGACCATTGCAGTCTCTCTTTTCGCTTGTCTTCCAATGCCCGCACTACTCATGGCTCATATGTCACACTCGCAGTCACACTTGCACATTCACTTGTTTTGAATCCTTCCCCATGGATTTTCGAGCAAAAGAGAGACTGCTCGCAGTCTATCTTCTGACCCTCTCATTCCCCTTGTCAATAAACAATAACTGGTCCCTGCTGACAGCTCATGTGTGGGAAACTTTTCAACACTGTCAAGCCTCTCTGGAAAAATAGTACAAACATTACAGCTGTCCCCGTTGTAAAAGCTCATTGCTTGCAAAACGACAAGAGGAAATGCGAAGCCCTAAAGTAAATAATTACTGACAAGCACCCAAAAGGGTCAAAAAGAGAATTTCCAACTTCACAATACCGGGCCAATTCACCCACACGTATCGGAACGCTTTCAAGAACGGGACATGACACAATAAGCACTTTTTTCATTCAATGAGATGCAAATAACTGGCCGAGTATGATTTCCGATCATCGCATCAGTACCACAATCTTCGAACTCGAAAGATCAACGGAGTAAAGACTTCTGGTGGTTTATCGTGAAACAAAAAGCATCTCATACCTCTTGATTCTGAAAAGGCAAAGTGCTGAAAGCCTTCCTGTGGGATGTTTCACCCTCTGCCATGGGGCTTCTGAGGATAACTGCAACCCGGAACTGGCTTCTTCCGCCATCGCCATGTTAAAAGTTTGTATTCATGACGTCATTCATTCCAGACGTAAAACAGAGAAAAGACTGGGAACGACCCAGAGGAGTTACAGCCGGCGACGCCCATTGAGACTGGTTTTAAAACTAGCGACGCAAGCACAAGCGCAAACACAATATTTCACCGTGAAAACGGCCTTGACGCTAACCTGCAGAACAGGCGGAATCTTTTTGCGTATTTTAGGCGAACAGAGGTGAAAGCGAGCCGAGCGCGAGGGAAGAGCGCGAAAAAAACAACGCGTTATTTTTTTCGCGCTATTTCCTCGCGCGCGACTCGCGCTTTGCGTTCGCCTCGCTTTCGCCTCTGTTCGCCTAAAATACGCAAAAAAATTCCACCTGTTCTGCAGGCTACCTTGACACAGGCATAAGCACAAGCACAAGGATTAAAATTTTTCCTTTTACTTGCGCTTGCGCTTATGCTTGCGTTTGGGCTGCAACACGTTGAAAACGAAATACCGCTCAGGCGTAACACAAGCACAGGGATATTTACCACAAGTGGTTATGTTTGGCCAATGAAAACACTGGATCCAGATTAGCTCACGCCTAAACAGTTTTCCAGAATGGCGGATTGCTTTTGCTTGTGTTTGCGTCGAATTTCGTTTTCACTTGGGTCTAATTTTACTTGAAAATGTTTCGCAGTTATCTAGATCGATTGAGTGAATCTGTAGGTATAAAAACTTGCCCCTGCTCAATATACTGTGAATAGAAGAAGAAAAAGAAGAAGAAGAAGAAGAACTTTATTTAACGAGGGTAAAAGCACTTTACAGCTAGCACTGACAAACTAGTGGCCCTCATTACACTATACATAAAATCTAGTAAATAAAATGACTAATGACTAAATACTAGGTAAAGTTGACTTAAGAAATAGAGAAATGGTCGAGCCGTAGTATGTATGAATCCTACATAACTTTGGTTAAAAGCTTAACATTCTTACTTACGTTCAGTTCAGTTGTGCTGCCCATCAAGCTTTTTGTTTTGCGACATTGCGATTGCCGTTGCCGTCGTGTCTTGCGTAAGGTCCTTTATGAGAAACCACGACGACCACGCCGAGGACAACGTCAATTAAAAAACGAATTTATATTCTACCTACGAATCTCGCGATACTCTGAAGTCATTTACTTGCTTTCTATTTGTCAAAACTATCTGGAAACTAAATATGGAACATAACGTTAAATTCGGAAAAGACATTTAAAGCATTAGCTGTCGTGGTTCACGTTCTCCAGACAACGCAGAATTTGGTCATTTCACGTTGTTAGGGAGCTTAAATAAGCAAGGACGGCGACGACAACGACGCCTAGCCAAAATGAATTTATATTTTACTAGCGAAATTCGCAATTATCTAGATCTGTTCAGTACGCCAATGGCTCTAAGAACGTGCTCAGGCTAAATATTCAATGAAAGCATTCAATACCAAATGTGAATACGACATCGTTCACGTTTTTTAGACTGCGCGGGAACTTGGTCATTTCACGTTCTTGTTTTGCGGAGGACGGTGAAGAAATGTACAAAGATTTATAACGCACGTGCACTGCTATTGCTCTACTAATTAAACCTTTTGTTTGGTGACATTCTCGTTGTCGTCGTCGTCGTGGTTTGCTTAAGCTCCCTGTTGTTTTGCAAAGGACGGCAAAGAAATGTACCAAGAATTATAACGCCCGTGCACAACTATTGTTTTGCTCATCAAACCTTTTGTTTAGCAACGTTTCTGTTGTCGTTACCGTTGTGGCTTTCTAAACTCCCTGTTTAGACCAAAAATAACTACAACGTCAGCCAAACCACAATGCTTTATTATCAGTAGACTATTATAATTTGATACTGAGTTTCAATCTTGGATATTCAGTGGAGATAACCGAAAATGAACAGCTACTGCTACTACGGCTACAGCTATTGCCACTGTCACTGCCACTGTTACTGCCACTGCCAATGCCACTGCTACTACTGCTGCTGCTGCTGCTCAGTACTGCCACTGCCACTGATTGCTACTGCCACCACAACTGCCAGTGCTACTGCTAGCTACTGCTGCTCCGCTGTTGCTGCTGCTACTACTACTACTACTACTACTACTACTACTACTACTACTACTGCTGCTGCTGCTGCTGCTGCTACTACTACTACCACTACTACTACTACTGCTCCTGCTGCTGCTATTACTATACTGCTGCTGCTACTACTAACCCTGCTATTACTACTTGTGAAGATAATCCACCAAAGAAGTTTTGAAAGCATATTTTGGGATTATTTTTTTAGACCTTACTTATCCCAATATAAACCGCACTCTGTTATAATTTCTATTTTCATCAAGAGTTAAAAGCTCTTATTTCAAATGGAATTTAACAGGGGGTATAATATCTCGCTGTCTATCCCTCTTCTTTACTCCTAGAGAGTTGAATCGTGATTTAAAGCTAAAAAAACCGTTCTCGAAAAATGTTTTGTCAGTTGGCTGCCAACAACCGCCTTGACCATTTTGAAGTAATAGTTGGACTGACTAGCCGCAGAGAATTTACACAAACAGGACTATCCGCTAGCTGATGTAGAAGTTTGCTTCTCGGCTACGAAAATGTATATCAGATAAAACTAAAAACTGATAAGAAAATGGCCTAGAATAGGGTGCTACTC